CAGCGCCAGCACGGCCATGCGTGGCGGTTGGGGAAAGGTGCGGCGGCGAGGCAGGCGCGGGAACACCGCCAGCCACGGGAGGCGGCAGCAGGCAGTTGGGCCGGTGGTATGTCCGCCGGTTTGAAGAAGATGCGCACAAGATCTGGGCTGGAGGTTGGAGAAAGATATCGGGCCGTCCATTTTTCATCCAACGACGTAAACCAAATCGATGGACCCAAAAAAATTTTGGCGACTGTGATCTAACCACTCCCATATTTGCCGATGTAAACCAGTACTGCATACACTGTATTAAGAAGGCTGCATGCAAGTGTTTGAAGCCATGGGATAGGAGTATAGGACATGGTTGATTACAAGAAATGTTTGTGCAGATGCATGCATTCTTTCTGTTTCTCAACACGCGCGTGTACGAATGAACGAAGGTCACATTCTCATCCCAGATAATAATCGGGATCAAGTCTAATCATGCCCAGCCTGAGCGTGACCTGTGCATGCATCCACTGTCATACAGCATATATACCACTTTGAGCATCGCTGCATGCAATGATGCACCCTGCTGCAACATGCACGCGCGAGCCCCTGTGATACGCCGCAGGTCACACACACACACACACACAAAGTTCAAAGGCTGCACACAGCTAATTCCTCACCCTGCATCCACTGCGCAAATCGACGACGATGTGCCATGAATACACATGAGAGTGCGCGAGGGCAGAGGCCGGCCGGGTTGCCCAGCTAGCTAGCCGACCTAGGCAAGGCAACGATCGGTCTGCATGGCCTCACAAGGCAAGGCTCCACGGACAGCAACGTTCTCTGAGCTCCACCGCTGCGTCCGTCCGTAGTGTGGGCTCGATCGTAACCGCCCTCTGGCCGCGTGGCCCCACCTCCAGGCCCGATATCGGCAGGCTCATGAGGTGGCCGTGGCCGGGGTGATAGCGACACTTGCCACTGCACCCATCGATGATCGATCGGTCACCCAGGAATCACCCAACCCTAGCTAGCTACAGTAGCTGCTGCAATGCATGCAGGGCATATTGACCGGCCTCCCACAGTGGTTGCGCAGAGGCGTAGTTCTAGGGTTGGACCACCCTCGAATTGAGCTCATTAGTGTAATACTCGCTCCGTTTCTTTTTAGTCTGCATATAAGATTTGATCAAAGTTAAATTTTGTAAAGTTTGACCAACTTTATAGAAAAAATATCAACATCTACAATATTAAAATTATATGGTATGAAAATTAATTTCATGATGCATCTAACTATATTGATTTCATATTGTGAATCTTGATAAAAAAATTTATAAACTTAGTCAAAGTTAACAAAGTTTGATTTTGACCAAATTTTATATGCAGACTAAAAAGAAATGGAGGGAGTATATACTACTCCATAAAAAATATAATCGGGCTCAAGTCAGCGTCTCGCCCATATACAAGCAATAGATTGAGTTGTTCGGTTAAGTCTGCTCGTGCGTGTATTGTTGTATGCTAGTGAGTCGACGCTTGTTCTCCGGTCGAGTCCAGTCCAGAAGATGTCCCTTGTTCCCAAACTCCCTCTCCTCTAGAACCCTAGCGCCTAGCGAGCGCCGTCAGCAAACAGCATGAGGCCGATAAGGCACCCGCTGACGGTGACAGATAGGCGATCGGCGAAGGACGCTTGTGCTGGTGGGTGGCGGCGGCAGACAGGTCATATGCGACTAGCAAAGGGTGCAAGGGCCGAGCACTACTTGTTTTCTATTCCAGTCCAATCTAAAGTAAGATTTTTGTTCTCCTTTAACTGAAATTATAATTTTCTTTCGCTATGAAGATTTGAACAATTTGAAAGTGCAAGCTTTAAAGTTTTTTTCAATCGATAATTGGTAAAATGAACTGATTGAATCATTAGGGATTTGTTCCAGCTGACAGTTAATAATCAACTTTTGTAGAATTTTTTCAAAATTAAGAGCGGATGAGAGTGTTAATATGGGTGTTTTTGTCACACACAAGTGGCCACAAGTCTGGTGTGAATTGTTTTGATATATGCAAAAGGTTAGTCTCGTATTGAAAAACAAGTAACCAGAGGTTAAAACAAAGCTTAGAAAGTAAATAACATAAAAAGTAAAGTAATAAAAGTAGATCGTCGGTTTGTCTATAGTAGGAGGTTAGGCATTGGAAACTCGGACCATGGTGTACATTAGATGTGCCAGTGCATCGGTAATACTAATTACCTTTTTATGTGATTATACTCTTCGATTATATGTTCAGTAGGCAGGTCATCCTTGAATAGTTGAACTCATCCATGCAGGGATTGTTCTTCTATATTGTCTTGCATCAACGCTATCATATGCATGATCATTTCCGCAATCAAGGTCGTAAGATCGGACCAACGCTTTACATGTCGTGGATTCTAGTTATCCTCATATTGTCTTCACTCCTTATAGATACCAACACCGAGTGGCGTAGTTGCGGGGTGGGCAGGTGGTCTATGGAGCACTCTGTAAATCAGCACAATACTTCATTATAGCTGTGCAAAAACTATACTTTACTATAGTTGTAAACAAAACTAGCAGGCCACAGCGCACGCTCAAGGCTCAAGCAGAGAATGAAGGACTGCATGATTGATTGCTAGCTCCCTTGTTTCATTTGTACATTCTATAGATGTTGTTGTCTTAACTATCCATGGATGTCTGGACGTGGTGCCTAAGTGCAATTATGTCATGTATAATCATACTCATAAAAAATCCAATTTATTCGATAAGAAATTATAATTTGTGCACCATGCCATGTTGCCTTTATTTGAAGAGATGCCGCTAGCAAAACTATGGATCCAATACATTCATCCTTACTGCTTTCAACCTCGATCATTGTACTTTTTATTTCTTTTATAACCTGGACTTTTGTTTCTTTTGTTGCAATCAATATATTCAAACACAAGTTGCATTAATCCTTGTAACTAACAAGGCTAGTAAGACTGAGAATTTTACTAGTTTCATTGGGGGCCGAGGCAAGTTTTGTATTTTTGTTTCTAGGTACTGATCATTGGCTGCAATTCAAAGCTCCACAAGCCTTGCTGCGCGGTTGATGACGAAGTGGCCGGTGTAGAGTCGATGCTGATGTCGGAGTAGAGGCCGAGGCTCGACGGCGGCGGCGGGCGATGCAAACCGATCTTAGATGGGAAAACCAAAAAGTAAACGCCGATCAAAGCGACTGATGAGAGAGAGAAAAACCTGGATCAAAGGATCGGAAAAAGACTCTCTAGGGCAACCGGTCAACATGACTGGCAGATGAATCCTAGGTACGGGGCGGCGTGGCCTCCGGCGGCGGCCATGTAGGCCGACCGCCTTAGGGATTGCGCGCGGGGCAGAAGCGGCGGACGGCGGCTAGGGTTTGGATCGATTAGACTGATACCATGTTAGAAGGGAATAGAGAGGATATTGGTGGAATCGATTGATTATTGCTTGAGCATTGTATGCGTATATATAGCGAGTACATGGCCTTCTTGAAGTACAAGGCAAGGTAGTACAAATCCTACGCTATCCCTTGCTACCTAAATAATCACTATAGAGAAGAAGAAAAAGGGGCAACTATAACCATTCCTATGTATCTATCTTCACTTTTTAAGGCTAGCTAGTTACCATTGTAGGAGGCATGCCAAAGTTAATGCCTGTGCATAACCTGAATGTATTCATGTTCGTGCAAAAACAACTGTTCACGTTGGAAATGTTGTTTTTATAAACAATCCTGTTCGAATTGAAATGCTAACAGTGCCATTTCTGAGCATATATGCACAAC